ATCTATCTATCTATCTATCTATCTATCTATCTATCTATCTTTGTGAATTTCAGAGCGAAAAATACAGATAGTTTTTTTATACACTGGACAATTGGCCCATACATAACAAATCTGCTTTTCAAAATCTTGGCCCTGTACAATAGATTGAACATTGAACATTGACCTTCGGCTTTAACATGAATGTTCCCGGTTTCTCAGCTCGCCTCTAATTTCTGTGTGTGTGTGTGTGTTTTTTTTTTTTTTCTTATTTCTGGTCAGTAAAAAATTTTCTATTCTTCTTTTTTTTTTAAATCATTTCAACCCAAGTAAGAAGATAATACCATTAGATAATTACCATAAGACGGTAAGGGGTGACTGAGAGTGAATGAAATTAAAAGAACTTAGGAAGTGAATGACCCGGAAACCAAATCCTAAACAGGAAACAAGGAATAAAGTTCGACTGCTGTTTAACATGACGGAAAAGTAGTGTGAAATTTCTTATCTTAAAAACAAATATCTTCAATGAACTACAAAAACGAAGGGGTTGACCTTGTCGTTCCAATATTTTGGGAGGGACATATATATATATATATATATATATATATATATATATATATATATATATAAAAGAAAGAACAGTAAGATATAAAATCCGGTGTTCTTATAGATATTTTTATTTTTACAAAATAGTGCTCAATGTAAATTTACAGAGCATTAATATTATAAATTAATTGATTTAAAATATGTTTTTTCGCTACACAGTTCCAACCACGTTTCAAAAATAGAAGCTAAAACCCCGAATTTAATTTTGCAATTAAATTAAAAGCATTAGTTCCATTTCATCTTCGAAACAGAACTAATGCTTTTAATTTAATTGCAAAATTAAATTCGGGGTTTTTAGCTTCTATTTTTGAAACATGGTTGAAACTGTGTAACGAAAAAAACATATTTTAAATCAATTAATATATATATATATATATATATATATATATATATAGAGCGAGAGAGAGACAGAGAGAGAGAGAGAGATAGAGAGAGAGAGAGAGAGATTGCGATGGGTAAATTGTCGCAATTTTATATTTTTAATTTCGCGCATGTGCATCGTTTGTTTTTCATTTTGGTGACTGCACAGTAAAGTAGGGTTAGTTGCGCATCGTTTTCGAGAAAAAAGAGCGCCATGACACAATTCGCTCAGCCAGATATTTGGAAACGGCATACTGTACTGTTTGGCATACGCGCCGGTAGCCCCATTACGAACATTTCAGATGGTTTGGGCATCAATTTGAGGACGGTGCAGAGGATTCGGAAAGAGATGGATGAGCAATGGTGATTACGAAGGTTTTGGGAGGGATCATTAGTAATGGCGACGTTATGCCTCAATTCATCTTCCCACATGGCCTCAGACGTAATATGTAGGCCTACAATATCTTAGGTAAATGAAAGGTTTTTTTTTGTGGTATTAATTACGTTATTTTCTAGGTTAGTTATGTAGAAGTTGCTAAATATTGGTCCCAGGACGGAACCCATAGAAATACTATCGCATTGTACGTATATGTTATTTTGCTCATAGAAGGAATCTGCACTTGGAAAATCATTATGGACACCTCGACGTGTTGTAATGGTTAGCAAGCTTGTCTCGCTAAATCAAGTACGACTGAGTAGTGAGTTCAAGCCTTACTGGGTGTTCCAAACTTTCGACCATGTGCCACAACTAAGCTAAACCTAGTAAATCGTTTTAAGCACTTCTACGTGGTATAACAGCAATCTTGTCCCGCTAGATTCGATATGACTGAATAGTATCTTCGACCCTCACTGTGTGACCAAATTATTCGGCCTTGTGCCACATCTAAGCTATGCTTAGAAAACAACTATTCGTCTTGTATTTTTTGAAATATCTTACCATATGTGTACAATTCATTTTTCAGTATAACTTTATTTGCATAAAACACTCCCAAATACATTAAAATAGGGATTATTATTTTGTTTTCAGCAACCCTTTAAAAAGAGGAGCTTGTGCCTGCTTTGAAAAGCAGCATTTGGAATCCTGTGATCGAGAACAGAATCAGTGAATAATATGTATATCAAGCACTTGATAATAACGGTGAAGCTCGCGACGTGGCCTTAGATATCTCGAAAGCGTTTGACATGGTTTGGCATGCTGGTCTTCTACGTAAGCCTCGGGATTACTGTATTACAGGACGATTATTTGGTTTAATCCAATCATTCCTATCAACTCGTGAAATGAATGTCGTCCTAATGGTTTCTCTTCCAGTTCCTTCCACTAATGCAGGAGTTCCCCAAGGCTCTATCCTATACTATTTCTGATCTTCATCAATGATCTTCCTGATGTCATCAGTTATCAAGTAAGCATCTATGCAGATGATATTACCATTTACACCTGTATCAATAGTAAATCCGGCAGCGCTGATAAAGTTAACTTGGCCGCTGCTCTTGAAAAGGAACTCCAATCAGTGGTTAAAAAAAATTGAGGAAAATAGGTTTCTCAAGCCCATTGGCTGTTATAACTCTTTCCGGTACTGAATGGGGTTTCCTTCATAACTTTTTATTTGAAGTAGTGTAGAACGTCAACATCTTGTTTACGCCATTGTTTTCTCTTCGAGTTACATGTGGTATCCATTTTATATCCATTTGCTCGAAAAAAGTCTGTTCTTCTACACTTCCGAGCGCAATACTCAACATCTTCTAAAATATTTAAAAAAATATTCTTTAAATTTAACGGATCAAAGTCAGCAGGAAATCAGTCAGGGTTATTGGTGAAAATTTATTTATTTCTCTATTGGTTCATGTTAGTTAAGTCATGGTAATTATGTGTGAAAGGTAATATGGTCGAAATGTCCGCCAAGGCGGCGACGGCACACCTCCAATCGATGGTCAAAATTTTTGATGACGTCTCTGCATAGTTGCTCTTCGATCTCACCAATATGCCTTATTACCTCATCCTTCATCTTTTGAATTGTTGCTGGCTTGTAAACTTTAATGCCTCCAAAACGAAACTGTCCTCATTTAACTACCTCAGAAAAACTTCCCTGTCCCCACATCAGCATCGTTGATGCTTGACTCCGTGAGAGTGTCTCACTGTGCCTTCTTGGCTTCATGTTTTCCAATGACCTGAGGTGGAAGAACTACATTGAATCAATAGCTGCATCTACTGCAAGGAAAGTCGGTTCACTGTGCTAGAAGGTTTTTTTCTCGTCAGATTCCATCTTACACATCTACAAATCTAAAATTGGTCTATGCATTGAATACTGTTGCCATATCTGGTCTGGTGCCTCTCCTGTCTATCTCGAGGTTCTCGACAATATACAAAGGATCTGCCATGTAATCGGTCCTAACTTGGCATCTCTACTTCAGTCACATTTTCATAGTTCTGATGTGGCTTCCCTCTGTCTTTTCTGCAAATATTTTCATGGTAACTATTCTGATGTGCTGTCTTCCCTGATGACCTGACTTCATGAATTTAAGCGTGTTAGTAGATTGGCATTTAGGTCTCACCCTTTTAAAGTTAAATTCAACCGCCACTTCTACTCTAGCAGTTTCTTTTCTCCCACTTCCCAACAGTGAAACTCCCTTCCTCTTACTTGATTCTCTGATAACTACAATGATTCTCTGATAACTACAATCGCAATCTTCTGTTGCCTTGATCCCCGTTCTTCTTTCTATCCTTTCCTCAATCCCCTCTATACACAGTCTTTTCCCTCACTTTCACTCTCTGTGACCCTAGAATGCTAGTGGACTTCCCGCCTTGCTTGGGGTGAAATGATTTTAAAAATGCAGTTGACTCACTACGTCTTTACTCCTGTCTGCTTTTCTGATACTTGTGAAGTTCGCCTTAATCTTAAATAGGGGAGATGTAGGAATACGTTGTTTTATCGGACTTTCAAGTGGTAAATACTCTATACGTATAAAATCTGCATCGAAATCCTGGTTTCTAACTGGGCTCGAACTCTGGTCCCGAATATGAAATACTCAGCGACTGAATGCACATCGTCATAATTTATTGCTATTATTCTTATCTAGAATAATTTTGATTTTAATTTTCCCGCTCTTAAATGTTGATTGTTTGTCTTGTCATCAGGCCGATGCTAAATTACCCACATATTTTGGCAGAAATGTTTATTCCTATATCCTACAAATTCATGGCATCGTTATTCCGTCATCAAATACATCTTCCATGACCTTATGCAGAAATTCAGCTAAATTGTGTATTCCCTCATCAAATAATAATCCCAAGTTCTTTTGCTAGAACCGTTGACTAGATAAGAAATGCTATACAGGGTGAGGCCTACAATACACTCTCTATTTTTTTTCTATTTTGTACTTAATTTTTTCCCATACGAAGAATAAAGAGATTGTAATCTGAGTCAATGATGATATCCTTCAAGATAAGTAAATAAAATCACCACATTTCCTTAAAGAGTACTCAGGCAAAAAAGCGATAAAAAGAGGTGAATAAATTATTTTAAAAAATATACTTCTAAGATTTCTCTAACATGTAAAATATAGCGATGTGAATTTTTGCTTCATATGGATATCCTACATTCATTTCTCTTTTCGTCATTTCTTTCTTTTCCTTTCTTGATATTCTTTTTCATCCACTTTTGCACCATTGTAAGTTTCTCTTCATCAGGGTTATTTTTAAGGTTTGTTTCTTTGCGCCATAAACGATAACCGCCATTTTATCTTTCTTCATTCCAGGAACTTCTTCTTCCGCCTGTTGTTCTCTTTCTAGCTTCCGTATTTGCTTGGCTTCCTTACTGAACGTTTCTTTTCCTTCTTAATTTATCATAAATTATTCCGCGTTTTTTTTTTTTTTTTTTTGACTTATTAAATATCTCACCGATCTTGTCCACTATTTGCATTACGCGTATTTATTTTCATGCTTCCTTCATTCGTTCTTGTTCTGCTTCGAATGTGCTATTTTTTCTCCGCCATTTTAAACTTTTTCTTCAGTCCCTTTCCAGGTTATTTTTGTTTTTTTGTTTTTGTTTTTTTTTTTATTTCTCCTCTAATTCGTCATAATGTTCACATTGTTTTCTTCAACTCATTTCATTTTCTTTCTCGATTGTTATCTCCTCTGTTTGCTTATTCCTGTTGCTTGTATCGACACAGTTTTTCAATTCATTCTTCGAGCTTCCATAACGTCTCAGCGTTCTTTTAAATCCGCATCTCCGGTGTTTTCCACTTTTTGTTTATCGCTTATTAGCGTCGTTTTTATTATATTTTCTTTTCTTTTTTTCTTTTTAGGACGATGATTCTCTTATTTATTATTGTAACTCCCTCCCCAATACCGCCTTTATTCCTTGCAATCATTTTGCATCACTGTGTTTTCTCATTTTCATACAATCATTTGCGTCTAAACGCTGCTTTTTTTTTTTAAATTTCTGTTTCTATTTATTCATCACAAAGATTCCTTGTCCCTCCCATTTTTCTTCACAATATTTAATATTTTCTTTCGAAACCTTGATTTTTGACAGCACATTAAGAACCAAGATATGATTCTATATATTTCAGATCTCACTCATATTCTTTCTTTCTTTCTTTCTTTCTTTCTTTTTCTTTCTTTTTTCTTTGCCTTATGCTCTCACCCTTCTTTCTTTTTTTCCCTTTTCCCTTCTTTAACTTTATTTACCGTCCTTTATTCAGTTTTTCTCAATACTACTCTTTCTTTCTTTTTCTAATCTCTTTCTATTTTTCCTTCTTTCTTTTCCTGATCTCATTCGTTCTTTTTTCTTTGATTTCTACTCTTACTCATATTTCCTTCTTTTAATTTATCGCCTCTTTACTTGATTTACTGTCTTTTATTCAGTCTATTTCTTCGACGCGACTCATCTTTCATTTTTTTTTCTTGGTCTCTTTGTTTGCTTCTTTCATTCTTTCTTTCTTTCTTTGCCTTCTCTCGTTACTCTTTCTTTTTTATTTTATCTTCTCTCTTTAACTTTATTTACACTCTTTTATTCAGTCTATTTCTTCAACGTGACTCTTTCTTTCCTTTTTTTCTTGGTCTCTTTGTTTGTTTCTTTCATTCATTCTTTCTTTCTTTCTTTCTTTGTCTTCTACTCTTAGTCTTCTTTCTTTCTTTTTCCTTTTTCTCACTTTAAATTTATTTATCCTCCTTTATTCCGTCTATTTTTTCAATCCAATTCCTTCCTTCGTTCTTTGTCTTCTGCGCTAATTCTTATTTTTTCTTCTATATTCTTTAACTTGATTTACCATCCTTTATTCAGATTCTTTCTTCATTTCTTCATTTCTTTCTTCATCTTCCTTCGCTCTTTCAATGACTTTCTTGTATCTTCATATCTTCAAATACAGGTTTTTCCTATTCCTTGTTTTCTCGCTTGCTCTTCTCAGACAATAAACACTGCTTGTGAGTTCTCCGGGGCAAAAATCAATGTTCAGATGCAAAATAAATGGAACATTGTTATCAGGAATGGATCGATGGGCTACAAACAGACGCACCCGTTGGTTGGTTCCATGAGCAGAGTGTTGTCTGTCGTGTACAATTGGAGGGTCGCTATCTCGTTTTTTTTTTTTTTTTGTAAAGGTACTGCAATGTTCTTCTAGTCAATGTTCTCGACATGCTTGAGGGATAGATATAGCGCCTTTTCGAAAAGGAATAAAATAAATAAAGGCAAACAATCTGCGAAGAAAGAAAGAGAAAAAAAAAGCATCAAACTTATAAATATTATGAAAAATAAAGGCAAACGATGGGGTTGAAGAATGGGTGTTACCAGAAACCAATGGATGGACATAGCGAACGTAATGTGATAAAAGATTCAGAGATAAAAAAATATAGCGAGCGTGGAGGACGAAGCAAAGAATTGAGAAGAAGATGAGTAGAAGTGGGAGTGATAAAAGTAAGAAAATACAAATGTTGGACGAACGAGAAATTAGAGAACAAATAGAAGGGGGGGAGAGAGAAGATGAGTAGAAGTGGGAGTGATAAAAGTAAGAAAATACAAATGCTGGACGAACGAGAATTTAGAGAACAAATAGAAGGGGGGGAGAGAAGATGAGTAGAAGTGGGATTGATAAAAGTAAGAAAATACAAATGTTGGACGAACGAGAATTTAGAGAACAAAATAGAAGTGGGGGGGAGAGATGATGAGTAGAAGTGGGAGTGATAAAAGTAAGAAAATACAAATGTTGGACAAACGAGAATTTAGAGAACAAATAGAAGGTGGGGACGAGAGATGATGAGTAGAAGTGGGGAGTGATAAAAGTAAGAAAATACAAATGTTGGACGAACGAGAATTTAGAGAACAAATAGAAGTGGGGGGGACGAGAGATGATGAGTAGAAGTGGGAGAGATAAAAGTAAGAAAATACAAATGTTGGACGAACGAGAATTTAGAGAACAAATAGAAGGGGGCGAGAGAAGATGAGTAGAAGTGGGGAGTGATAAAAGTAAGAAAATACAAATGTTGGACAAACGAGAATTTAGACAACAAATAGAAGGGGGGCGAGAGAGGATGAGTAGAAGTGGGAGTGATAAAAGTAAGAAAATACAAATGTTGGACGAACGAGAATTTAGAGAACAAATAGAAGGGGGGCGAGAGAAGATGAGTAGAAGTGGGAGTGATAAAGTAAGAAAAATACAAATGTTGGACGAACGAGAATTTAGAGAACAAATAGAAGGTGGGGGCGAGAGAAGATGAGTAGAAATGGGAGTGATAAAAGTAAGAAAATACAAATGTTGGACAAACGAGAATTTAGAGAACAAATAGAAGTGGGGACGAGAGATGATGAGTAGAAGTGGGAGTGATAAAAGTAAGAAAATACAAATGTTGGACGAACGAGAATTTAGAGAACAAATAGAAGTGGGGAGCGAGAGAAGATGAGTAGAAGTGGGAGTGATAAAAGTAAGAAAATACAAATGCTGGACGAAATAGAATTTAGAGAACAAATAGAAGGGGGGCGAGAGAAGATGAGTAGAAGTGGGAGTGATAAAAGTAAGAAAATACAATGTTGGACAAACGAGAATTTAGAGAACAAATAGAGGGGGGGGCGAGAGAAGATTAGTAGAATTGGGAGTGATAAATGTAAGAAAATACAAATGTTGGACGAACGAGAATTTAGAGAACAAATAGAAGGTGGGGGGCGAGAGAAGATGAGTAGAAATGGGAGTGATAAAAGTAAGAAAATACAAATGTTGGACGAACGAGAATTTAGAGAACAAATAGAAGTGGGGACGAGAGATGATGAGTAGAAGTGGGAGTGATAAAAGTAAGAAAATACAAATGTTGGACGAACGAGAATTTAGAGAACAAATAGAAGTGGGGGCGAGAGAAGATGAGTAGAAGTGGGGAGTGATAAAAGTTAAGAAAATACAAATGTTGGACAAACGAGAATTTAGAGAACAAATAGAAGTAAGGGCAGGAGAAAATGACTAGAAGTGGGAGTGATAAAAGTAAGAAAATACAAATGCTGGAAGAACGAGAATTTAGAGAACAAATAGAAGGTGGGGAGAGAGAAGATGAGTAGAAGTGGGAGTGATAAAAGTAAGAAAATACAAATGTTGGACAAACGAGAATTTAGAGAACAAATAGAAGGGGGGCGAGAGAAGATAAGTAGAAGTGGGAGTGATAAAAGTAAGAAAATACAAATGTTGGGCGAACGAGAATTTAGAGAACAAATAGAAGGGGGGCGAGAGAAGATGAGTAGAAGTGGGAGTGATAAAAGTAAGAAAATACAAATGTTGGACGAACGAGAATTTAGAGAACAAATAGAAGTGGGGGGCAAGAGAAGATGAGTAGAAGTGGGAGTGATAAAAGTAAGAAAATACAAATGTTGGACGAACGAGAATTTAGAGAACAAATAGAAGGGGGGCGAGAGAAGATGAGTAGAAGTGGGAGTGATAAAAGTAAGAAAATACAAATGTTGGACGAACGAGAATTTAGAGAACAAATAGAAGGGGGGACGAGAGAAGATGAGTAGAAGTGGGAGTGATAAAAGTAAGAAAATACAAATGTTGGACAAACAAGAATTTAGAGAACAAATAGAAGGGGCGAGAGAAGATGAGTAGAAGTGGGAGTGATAAAAGTAAGAAAATACAAATGTTGGACGAACGAAAATTTAGAGAACAAATAGAAGGGGGACGAGAGAAGATGAGTAGAAGTGGGAGTGATAAAAGTAAGAAAATACAAATGTTGGACAAACGAGAATTTAGAGAACAAATAGAAGTGGGGGGCAAGAGAAGATGAGTAGAAGTGGGAGTGATAAAAGTAAGAAAATACAAATGTTGGACGAACGAGAATTTAGAGAACAAATAGAAGTGGGGACGAGAGATGATGAGTAGAAGTGGGAGTGATAAAAGTAAGAGAATACAAATGTTGGACGAACGAGAATTTAGAGAACAAATAGAAGTGGGGACGAGAGATGATGAGTAGAAGTGGGAGTGATAAAAGTAAGAAAATACAAATGTTGGAAGAACGAGAATTTAGAGAACAAATAGAAGGTGGGGGCGAGAGAAGATGAGTAGAAGTGGGAGTGATAAAAGTAAGAAAATACAAATGTTGGACAAACGAGAATTTAGAGAACAAATAGAAGTGGGGGGCAAGAGAAAATGAGTAGAAGTGGGAGTGATAAAAGTAATGTTGGACAAAAAATACAAATGTTGGACGAACGAGAATTTAGAGAACAAATAGAAGGGGGGGAGAGACGATGAGAGAAGTGGGAGTGATAAAAGTAAGAAAATACAAATGTTGGACGAACGAGAATTTAGAAAACAAATAGAAGGTGGGGGGCGAAAGAAGATGAGTAGAAGTGGGAGTGATAAAAGTAAGAAAATACAAATGTTGGACGAACGAGAATTTAGAGAACAAATAGAAGGGGGGCGAGAGAAGATGAGTAGAAGTGGGAGTGATAAAAGTAAGAAAATACAAATGTTGGACAAACGAGAATTTAGAGAACAAATAGAAGTGGGGACGAGAGATGATGAGTAGAAGTGGGAGTGATAAAAGTAAGAGAATACAAATGTTGGACGAACGAGAATTTAGAGAACAAATAGAAGTGGGGACGAGAGATGATGAGTAGAAGTGGGAGAGATAAAAGTAAGAAAATACAAATGTTGGACGAACGAGAATTTAGAGAACAAATAGAAGGTGGGGGCGAGAGAAGATGAGTAGAAGTGGGAGTGATAAAAGTAAGAAAATACAAATGTTGGACAAACGAGAATTTAGAGAACAAATAGAAGTGGGGGGCAAGAGAAAATGAGTAGAAGTGGGAGTGATAAAAGTAAGAAAATACAAATGTTGGACAAACGAGAATTTAGAGAACAAATAGAAGGGGGGCGAGAGAAGATGAGTAGAAGTGGGAGTGATAAAAGTAAGAAAATACAAATGTTGGACGAACGAGAATTTAGAGAACAAATAGAAGGGGGCGAGAGAAGATGAGTAGAAGTGGGAGTGATAAAAGTAAGAAAATACAAATGTTGGACGAACGAGAATTTAGAGAACAAATAGAAGTGGGGGCAAGAGAAGATGAGTAGAAGTGGGGATGAAAAAAGTAAAAAATACAAATGTTGGAATACAAATGTTGGACAAACGAGAATTTAAAATTTAGAGAACAAATAGAAAGGGGAACAAATAGAAGAAGATGATGAGTAGAAGTGGGAGTGATAAA